TCCAGTTTGTGACCAGAACAAATGGGGAATCAAGCTTTCCCCTGATGCTGCAAGAGCTCCCGGCATATCCCTTCTGAATAACATTAACATCCAATTTGCAGTAAAGTGATTGATTTAAAATGTCAGATACCTACACAGCACCCACGGCACTTTCAGCTGTGCAAAATGCTTATTGGCACTTTCCCATCTAACTCCACTGGACTCCCTTGATTAGCTTATACAGAGGATGCAACAGCTGGGCCATGTGGGGCATGCATACCTTCCAATAACCTAACAAACCCCAAATTTCCTGCAGCTGTGTGGCCAGCAGATGGCATAATGGCTACATCGCTGAACTCCCATGTAGTCGACTATGGTTCGAGTCCTGGACCCGGTTGCTTAAACTCATGCCAGGCGTGTGCCTGTGTGCCCAAGATCCTGAGAGGAGAATGGAGAAAGGATTGCAGTGTGGCCATCCCCCCTGAGGGGGATGATTTCTTGCTTTCTGTCTTTCTGTCTCTCTCTGTCTTTCTGGCAAGTGCATGATGCGCCCTATTGCAATAAATAAATAAATAAATAAAAAGAATAGTGAAGTGGGAAAAGGATTGGATGTTATCAGTAGCAGCTGACAGCATCACCTTTGTCTTACATGAACCAACAACCCCCATGAATTTGACAGATAAATTAGGTCCTTGCACTTTGTTCTGGTTTATAGCCTCTCCTGCTTGTGAATACTCCAGGTGCAGTTTGTGCCAGGTCTAGAAGAGAGCCAGAGGTGAGCATGGTATCATTAATAAAATGAAACAAAGACACGTATTTGGCTCATTCCGTTTTTCTGAATCTCAGGCTACCTAACCATGGTAGAGGACCTGCATGTAGAAGTATCCTTTTAGGAGAGTGGTGAGGCCCATTGGCTTCCTTACCAGGAGAATGAAATTGGTTTTAATCTGTGTGGATATCAGCACTAAAAAAGACATTAACTGAATCAACAACAAGATGCTAAGTACCCAGTTGTGATCCCAACCTGTCGAGGATGTCAGTGATGTTAGGAAAAGCTAGTTGCAGAGGAGGTATCATCTTACTCAGCTCTCTGTAATCTACTGTCATTTTTTATGTACCATCCAGTTCTGTCACTGGCCAAATGGGAATTGTAAGGGCTGTGAGCAGGACAAATAATATTAAGTTTAGCTAATTTTCATATTGTTTCTCCAATATCCTTATGTCCTTCTGATAGTTGGTAGTATCTAACTGTCACCACCAACTGTGAGTGGGAAGAACTAAAGGCAGAAGTTTTTCATGCCATCATATAACAGCCTTCACAATTTGTACCCTAAAGCAGAACTCTTCAACACTAATTTGCAAATGTAACCCTTGTAATATGTCCATAACCGGTATATGCTCGTTTATTAGAGATATGTTGACCTTGTATGTGCATGGAAGAGGTTTCCCAATGCTCAATACAACAATTACTCTTCTTACTTTGATTGCGTTTCCTCCATAATCATCGATTGCAGTTAAGAGTTCTTTAAATTTATGAGGGTTATCATCAATGAGTATACGTTTGTACACATTTGGCCTCTGTATCGACTAAGGCAAGAACTCTCTGTACTCTTTGAACATTCTCTGATGTTCAGTGCATTTCAAGCTCCAGGTGTGGCCTCTGATCCATGGAGAAGGCTCATACATTCTCTAGGACTTGGCCTCTCCCCTATGTTAACAACCAGGTCCAGTAAGTTAGGTCTGGTCCTCAGCTGGGCTATGCTAAGGATAGCATATTCATCACCTCCCCAGTAGGTGGAGCCATCATGCAACACATTACTAAGGTACAAGGTAGGGGGCATTGTTGGTATCGCTTGGAGTCCAGTCTTGGACTAGTATTTCAGGTTTTTTTCTCAGGCAATAGTTGTAACCACTTTTCTTTAGGGAGTTGTCTCCCCAGTCTTACTAAAACCACATTTGATTGTTTGTCCATTCATGAGGCTACTCTTGTCTTTATTAGATCTACCCACAGTTTGCAAGTAGCCTTAAGTGATTCTATATCTTACTTCCCTTTTGTTTTGTTTTGCTTTTTAGTTGTATCTCTTACTACTCAAATTCTCTTCTTCTTCTCATGATTTCCATCTCTCCTAGGTCAGAAATTACTTGGGCAGCACAGTGAATGTGTTCACCCACCATGGGGGTGAGGACTGAAATAAGAGTGCTGTAATAGGAGAAAGGGGCCAATTGTAATACCCCGTCCTTTATACTGGCGGTAAAGTCCATGTTGTCTGGCCCGTAAGAGGATCGGTATAAATGTCATTACACATACCCAGTTCCTGGATAAACCCCTGTAATTTTCCCGTAGTATTTCACCTAGGGAAGGTAGAGGGAAGACTTCCTCATTTAGGCCCCACTAAGCGGCATGCCTCCATGATCCAAGTTAACTGGGAGGCATTAGCATTGTCTACTACAAAGCCATGTATGTGTCATTGCAGTACAAGGTGGCCAGTAATAGATGACATTTTCTACATTTTTTCCACAAGAGAAGGATTCCATCTGCACTTGTTTTCTACATATGCAGAAGCCACTCTGTCATATTTTTATGACCCTTCTGTCTAGATTTGGCTGCTAGCTTGACCAGTGCACCAATATATATGACTCAGTCGTGGTATGTAGTAGTCATTGGAGTGCTGGCAAATTCTCAAGATCAACTGCCTCAAGCCACGACTGCGTGGTTTTTAACTTCTGCATTGTTGTGGTGGGATGAATCCTTCCATCATTGTCCTCTATTACTTCACTAAAACCCTCTTCCTCTGAGAATCTGAATTTTCAGTGGGGTCCGACTTTTGGGGATTCTAGCCTGCCTGCACCACTGTGACGTAGATTTGTGCCAGTGGCAGTTTCTTTCCTGTCATCTTTGCAAAGTGCTAGGTTAATTGTTCCGTTGTTTGCATTAGGTGACAATTCAGCAAGTCCCTAGTTTCTGCCTGAATAATATGAACATCTTGCTCCATCTGAAGCTCTTTCCTCAGGTGGTGTGCTTCTGTGTGAGCAGCTAATTCCTGCTTGGTTGTTAAGCACGGAGCACAAGGGACTGGCTAGTCTACTGAAGCAGTAGCAGTTTTATTTCCTTTATGAAGATTCCCTTTCTTATCAACTGCTCTTATAAGCTTTAGCTGTTCTATAGGCATTTTTAGGGCATCCTTGTACTCATGTGGTGGCTCCCAATGTTCTAAAAGACTGGCTACCTCATACCATGCAGAGGTGGGAGCCCACTTTGTTATTTCCCCTGCAACATCCCACTTTCTTCAGCTTACCTTGTGTTCACAGCTACAGGACATCCTTAGGCTCCTGCCAACTGTGCTAATTGAACTGGAGGAGACCCAGATCTGAATGGGCTTGTTTGTAATGTTTACTACTCCCAAAGAACACACCTAGAAGTCTAACAAGAGAATACATGAGTTTATTACTTACATAAGTAGAATAGGTTGCTCTGTTGATGGCTGGGCAGAGAATAGTATATGCCATTGTTGAGCACAGACTGAGGTTATAAATGTTAAGATCAAAGAATACATGCATCAGCTATAAAGTCAGCTCAGACTTCCTGTCTCTAAAACAGGAGTCTGATTTCTACCTACATTGTTTAAAAATTACAATCAATGGACAGATTATTGATCCACCTGAGTTTGAACAGTAATTTAGTGCCTCTGAACTTGTAATGCTGACGGAGAGGTGTATACAGCTCTGGATCAGCCCCAGCCACAAACCAATTCCATCAGGTAAGGGAACAGTCAAGAGATGTTTGAGGCCCAGCAGGACCAGCAGCCAGGTATCAGAGAGAGGACAAAGAGGGTTGGGGAGGAGTGCTCAGTGTATGGAGCCTGCCCACAACAGCCAAGGATCATTTTGACTTTGAGACAAATGAATAGCATGAAAGAGAAGAACCAAGGCTAATCAAACGGTGGAAAGGCTAGCTGTCTACCAAAGATGAACGATCTCTGTTCAGAATATAGAGTTTTCTAGAATCAACTACCCTGCCAGTGACAGCATTTCTCATTCACCTTTGCATCCAGCTAGGGTTATGTGACTAGCTCTCACAAGTGAAATATGAGGAGATATGTCAAACCTCTCTTCTTAGCCAAAGTAATTAAGATGGTAGTTTTTCTTTCCCACATAAACCTTCTCCTCTCCCCCATCTCTTTATTTTTTTCATCTAATAAATGTCACCTCCTCAAAGAGACCTTCCCTAATAGTTCTAAATAAAATTGCTCACATCCTGCCCCAACACTAAGTCTAGCCCATTTCCCTGTGTGTCTTCATAGCACTGCTCACCTTCTTATCTTTTATATATCTGTTTATATTTTCCTCACCAGAATAAAAGCTTTATGAGGGCAGTTTAACTTGCTACAGCTGTATCCCAATCTCCTATAGCAGTGCCCATTTCCTATCAAACATCCAATAAAAATATACTGAATGAATGAAAGAACGAAGCCTTGATAGAGGGAAAATACATGTGCGTCAAGTAGAATAAGCATATCTTTCAGTTTTCATCAGTTGTCAATACGAGCTTGTCAATGGGAGCTAGAACTCAAGGAAAATTTTTGTCTTCACATCTAAATAAGCCCAAGAGATGAGCTTTACAAAGTCTGTACTGCAATTTCCAGGTCACTATTGACAAGAATAGAGGGAAGGTGCTGAGTATTTGCTGCACCCTCCCTTGTTCACAGTGTCTATGAGCTCTATGATTTCTTTTGCAAAGCTCTTGGTTACAGTGAGAAGCAGCAGGATGCTTATGTACTCTCTGAGGGCTGCTGTTTTGTTCAGCTTTCAAACCATAGAGGATATGAAAATTAGGTCACACCTCTTGATTTTTAAATAACAAAATACTCTACCTAGCTTAATAATACCTTAGATCTCCTACTGCTGTATTTCTTTATGCATATAAATGGGAATTACTATTTTGGTTTAGTATAATGAGATGGACTTCTTTTCTTTTTGGGGGAGAACTGATATATTTTATTATTTTTTTTCTTATTCCTCAGAATGGATTGGGGAGATGAATATTCCCATAATTCTGTCGACCTACATTGTTTGTTAAACTCATTTCCTGGAGACTTGGAGTTTAAGCAGATTTTTAATGACATCGATGAAAAGCTCCAACAAAATGCCACAAGGTAAATAGTGATAATTATTTAAAACAAGTACTTTTCACATTTCATCTACATGAAATTTACCCAGTCTGGTTTTAATGTTTCCTGCTCTTAGATAATTTTAAGTTTTAATTATCATTAACTTTTCTAAAAAAAGAATTGATTAGACACCCAGCTCCTTAGAATTTAACACAATTGTCTTTATCTAGTTAGTACTTTTAATAAGACTAGAATATATAAGGTTTTTTTTAATTTTGAAATGATAAAAAACTATTGAATTAATATTAATGGTTTATTTTATTTACTTTGCCAGTATTGATATCTTGAATTTTCATTAGTATGCTTAAAGTTAAGCATTCTTATTTGAAGGAGTAAGTATTAGGCCCAGCAGGTGGCCTGGTGGTTAGGGTGCTGGAGTCCCACATGACTGACAGTGGTTTGAGTCCTGGACCTGGTGGCTTGATTTCTCACTTTCCTTCTCTCTCCATCTCTCCCTGATGACTATAGCAAGGTAAAAATTAAATAAATAAATAAATAAATAAATAAATAAATTTTGAAAAAAAAGATGTATTACAAATTTGAAATTAAGGTATTAAAATGGTAATACAAAGACATGCTAAAATCAGAATACATTTGTATTAGGAAAAAATTATAGGAAGTCATTGTTTTGGACTGAACTCCTATACTAAGACCCAGCAGACTAGATCAAACTAAGATGGAGTCACTGATGCTAAAGTTCCATGTCATCAAACCAAAACTAAGTTATTATTTGACCTTCCAGTATACCAGGAGAGAGGGATTAACAGCCTATTTTCCCAGACAGGCCCATTTCAAGTGGCAAGGCAATAAAATTTCCTTTGCTTTTAGTCCTTACAATAAAAGTAATCTGAAGTAACCTGATGTTAACCAGTCAGTTATTTTTCTATTGTATGTATCCTTCTCTCTGCCTTACAAGGAACGTCATTTTGAAATGACCAATCTACCTTTTGCTCTTTGTTTCTGTTTTCTTTAGCTCTTATGTGACTATAAAACTGACCTTTTTTGCTCAGCCAATTGAAATTTTCAGTCTAGTTTATAGAATGAAGGGATTCCGTATTCAGGAATCACAAATGAAGCCAATTAAGTTCTTTAAATTGTTGTAATTTTGCCTTTTTTTCATTTGTCATTCATTTTAAGTCTCCCTCTCACTTACATGGTATAACAGAATATGGAACCCCCCCCCCCAAAGAGATTTGCTATGCCACCTTAGATAGCTAAGCAGATATGACCCATTAACATATATTTAACAGGATAAACAATCACTAGTCTTCTAGTGTGAGAAGAATTAGTAGTTTTCTTTATAAGAAGGCTTGGCAACACATCTTCCCCACACATAGTTCATCCTAACTTTACCATGATAATTGGGAGACTACTGGTGATAGCTAATTGGCCTTATCCTGAGGAGAAATAAACTTCTCATCTTTTTGACAGGAGATAGTTTGCAAATTGGAGCAAGGTGCCTACTAAACTTAGATTCTTACTCTCCCTCAAGAACCTGGAGATAGGGGAGCTATCTCCCTTGGTGTTTGCATTTCAAAAAGATAGCTCCCAGGCTCCAGAGAAGGACATTCCTGGGTCATGAAGCTGACAAAAGGCCAACTGACAAAAGGCACATCTAGTCTTCCAAAGGGGTACATGTCAAAAAGATGAAAAAGCACTAACAATTACAAGTTTTCTAAGGTAAATGCTCCAAGAAAAAAGAAGAGGAAAATCTCCCATTTTTCAGTAGGGAGAATTAAACCTACTCGTATTTTTAATATGTATTTGTGTGTGTGTGTGTATATGTGTGTGTGTGTGTGTGTGTATATATACACACACACACATATACACACACACACACACACATATATATATATATTTAAAAGATAACATATATGTGACTTAGCCATAATGTGAAAAGTGTATATTTGATATCACATGTAAATATAGCTATTTTAAATGTTAGTGTAATTTTGTATTTACATAATTTTTATATTAAATATTTATACATTATATGACTTTTTTAACCCAAAGGAACTTACAAATGAAAACAGTGTTTACGGACAGGCCATCATAGCCTGGTGGTTATGGAAGCTAGATCCCACATGATTGACCACAGTAAAGATCTGACTCTAGTAGCTTGAGAAACATGCCAGGCACATGTGTGTGTGTGCCCAAAATTCTGAAATAATGGAGATGGAGGAGAAGGGATTGCAGCCTGACATGCTCCATTGGAGGGGAGTTTTTTTTTTTTTTTTTTTTTTAGAGATTTTCACTATACGGCGCATGCGCTCGCCAGACAGACAGAGAGAGACATAGAGACAGAAAGCGAGAAATCACCCCCCAGGGGTGATGGTCACGCCGCAATCCCTTCTCCTCCATTCTCCTCTCGGGATATTGGGCACGCACGCACACGCGCCCGGCGTGAGTTTTAAACCACCGGGTCCGGGACACGAACCGCGGTCGACTATGTGGGAGTCCAGCGACATAGCCGTTACGCTAACTGCTGGTTCCCGTTGGAGGGTAGTTTTATCCTCTCTCCCTGCCTCTGTCTCTCTCCATTGAGTACACATATCCTCTAGCCATTTATGAAAAAAAAAAGAGAAAATTGTATTCATCTGAATATTAATACACTGACATGTCATTTATCTAAATTCCAGAGATGACTATATTTTTTAAAATGAAAATACTTTTTGAAATACAAACTTCTCCCTTCACAGTGGCGTTTAGATTCCGTCAAAATACAAATCGGGCCAGCAGGTAGTATAGTGGTCAAGGCTCTGGACTCCCACATGACTGACTGCAGTTTGAGTCCCAGATCTGGTAGCTTGCTTTTTCACTTTTCCTCTCTCTGTCTCTCTCTGGTCAAATTAAAATAATAATAATAATAATGAATAAAGTTAAATAAAATAACTATTAAATAAAACACAAGTCATTGAATTCTGAGATTTTTTCCTTTATTTTTGTTTACTAAACCATCTGTACTTAATTTCCTGCCCTACTTGGTCAATAAAAAATTGTATTTAAAAGTAAAAACATGATTAGGATATTATATTTTGTATTGGTAAGTTGTTATTTTGGTCGAAACTCAGATGTTAGTATTAAAAAGGAACTATAGTATGGAACATAAGGATATAATTTTTAAATTAAAAATATTTTATTGCCCATATATTAAAACAAACCTAGAGCAGAACCATCTCAAGTGACCATTGATCTTCACAAGGGATACAATAAGGGAGTAGCTGTATGTGCTGTATGCTACAGTTAGAATCAAGTCTATTTTTCATCAAATTCAATTATGTTTTTATTATACCCAGGAGAATAAACATAATAGTATAGGATGTATATATTTTTAAAAATAAAATACTGAATAATAACTATGGTTCAAAAGAGTATAAATCATTTATGCACTCATTTATTGCCTTCTAACAGAATAGCTTTTAGAAAATTGTATGTCATGACAAATCAGTTATGCCACACTTACACTGCGGTAGTTGAATTACCCTTGGCATTTTTGTATTCTAACAGTTCTATTTATCTCCCAGTGGTCCACAATGAATAAGTAATGAACATCTGTAGGATACAGGTTTTCCCCAATATTTTTAAAAAGAAAAAAATATTAGTAATTCATTTTTAAATACAGTCTTTTTTTCTTACACTTGAGTTTTTAAAGTTGTATTTCTAGCAGTGACCCTGACATCTGAGTGTGAATTCCTTCACTCCTCTTAATATCATCAGGTTTTATAAGCCAAAGGGTCTTTGGCTTCCTCAATGCAGTGATTCACCAGAATGGACCAGTATGCCCACAAGTCACTGAACCTTCGCCAGTCCTTCAAGAGAGGCTATCATTTTCTCAGGCCATTTTCACGTTTACATCCTCTTTTCCATTCCTGTCAGAGCTCGGTGACTCATGGGGTTGGACAGTAGAAATCAGTGAGGGTGAATCATTTACTTTGAACACACATTAAAATTTGTAATGAGAGAGTAAATAACCTGTCAAAGAGGAATACTAAGAATGTTGTACCCACAGATGTGGTTAATTCAGTAACTAAAAACTGTACACGGCACTGAACTATTTCTTGAGCTGATTAAAACTATTTGTGGGTCATTGGAAAAGTCACAGAGCATTTTTGCATAGAAAAACATAGAAAAATACGTCATGACTTTGCCGATGACCCAATAGTTTAACATGATAGTAAGGCAGAGAAGTTCTCTTAGGCTCACAATATGACAGAATAATTTTTCTCTTTTTAATGTTCAGTTGGATCTTAAGAGTTTATTTTACTTTTCTATTTATAGACACCCTCTGTATGTGGAAGCAAATTTTGTTAGTGTTCCTTCAGGATGACTATTTCTTTTTTTTTTTCTTTTGAAGTTTTTTTTTTTTTTTTCTATAGTGCACGTGCGCTCTCCAGACAGACAGACAGAGAGACAGAAAGCGAGAAATCACCCCCGAGGGAGGATGGCCACGCCGCAGTCCCTTCTCCTCTGTTCTCCTCTCGGGATCTCGGGCACACATGCACATGTGCCCTGCGTGGATTTTAAGCCACTGGGTCCGAGATGCGAACCGTGGTCAACTACGAGGGAGTCCAGCAACTTAGCCATTATGCTAACCGCTGGTCCCCCAGGATGACTATTTTTTAATCTAAAGAAAGAATAGGAGGTGCTATCAGGAGTAATAACATTTATCTTTATTCGGTGGGGGGGGCTTATTTTTATATTGTGAGGGAATATTAGTAAATGAAGTAGAACCATGCTAGGACCAGCAGATGGCATTATTGGTTGCATCACTGGACATCCACATGGCTGAGTACAGTTCAAGTCCTAGACCTGATGACTTCAAACTTATGCTAGGCATATGTGCATGCATGCCAAAAATCCATAGAGGATACTGGGGGGGAAAAGGGATTGTAGCATGGCCATCCCCACTGGAGGGTGATTTCTTGCTTTCTGTCACATGAGCACACATGCACTGTAGCAAATATCTCGATTAAAAAAAAAAGAAA